GGATTAACGGATTGAGTGGATTTTTACCACCCCTAATTAGAAGCTAAACCTAAAAATTTATGAGTACACTCAGTTTTTATTTGGTTTGACAGAAAGGAAAAAGATAAATTTCTTTATTTAAATAAAAAAATTGAAAGGAAGGGGAGAACTGGGGCTTCTCTTTAATTTTTTTAATTTTATTTTATAATTTTAGTATAACCAAAGGAAGGAAGAGGAAGGAAATGAAATGATATTGTTTCTGGTACCTTTTTATTATGAAAATGGTTATGGTAACCCAATACATTGTTGGGACAACCTAAATTTTTCTTTTTTATGTAAAGAGTTAGTTATTATTTAAAAATATCAATATAGAAATTGATTTTATATATTAATTATTTTGCTATTTATCAATTAATAACTACAATTATTAATTGTTTCTATTTATCAAAATAAAAAGAATTAATATTTTAAAAGACAAAATTTAAAAATCTAAGTAGCTCCAACAATTTATTGAGTGATCATAATCATGTACCTTTATAGAATTAGTATTTTAAAAGACAAAATTTAAAAATTTAAGTGGCTCAAACAATTAATTGAGTGGTTATGATAACTCTCCTCTATTACCCTCAACCAAACAAGGGGTTCATGAATTTCCAAAAGAATACTTCCCAGTCCAGATTAGAAATACCAAGTACTATGAATTTATACAAAGTTTACAACACTTTTCTAAAAACTAAAACCAAGCACACAGTTACAACTCCAGCTAGCTTTATTCAAATTTCAGAATATATATATATTTTTTATAAGATTCAAAAATCAGAACCATCCTCTAACCATTAATGAGGAATTCTGTTTTCTCCATTTCTACAAAGTAATCCACAATTGCATATGCAATGTTCCTCTGATATTATAGGCTGAGCAGACCGCAGCTAAGCATGAATGTGATCTCAAAAGGAAAATGATTAAGAAGACAATCTTTTACATTTTATTGATCTTTGACGTTGGGTGTATCTCCTCATTTATTGACATATAAAAATTGTATAAAAAAAGTTATACAAAAAGGTTGTTTCTGTACCACTACCCATTTCAAAACCCCAGATTTCCAATTCATGCCAAGAAACATGCACATTATTAACACTAGGTTCTAAATTCAAAAGAGGTACGGCAAAACTCTTCCTCTCCAGCTAAACAGTGAACGGATGAAAAATGCACACCTTGCTTCATTCTTTGGCTGCAGAATCGATTCCCTGCTTGTTCTTTTGATATTGTAGGCAGATTACAGCAAAGTATGAATTGCTCTTAAAAACCCAGATTCCAATTCATAACAAGAAAAGTGCACATGAACACAAGGCTCAAATTCACAAAAGGGAACAAATCATCCCTCTTTTGATATTAATTTAGAGTATCTATTACATATTAGAATTAGATCGAAAATAGATTCAAATCCCTCCAATCCAGGATTATAGAAAACTACAAGATCATCAAAAGAAAGTCTTGATTGCATTATAAAATCATTCATATCGACTTTAATCCGTCATACAGGGGAAACCATATGGGACGCATAGAGATATCAGGCAAAGACAACAACAGAAATCTCAAACATACCACAACGATTCCAAATTTCCAATCAAATTCAAAGAGGTGGAAAAGGAAATTTAGAAAAGATAAAGAAAACCTAATCAGTCCCGAAGAAGAGTGAGCGAACCGACGGGGTAGTGATTACACTGGGAGATGGACGACGTCGGTTGAAGGAGCGGTGGAGACGGAGACAGAGGAGGAGATGGAGGAGGAATTAGTGAACATGAGAGGACGGTCCTGGGACTCGGAGTCCTCGACGTCGTCGGAGGTGGAGAGGTTGATGCAGGAACAGCGCTCGAGCGATGCGAAGAAGGCGGCGGCGACGCTGGTGCCCAACCACGACGCCATGTACGACAAGTACCCGCTCTGATTTTCCATTTGCTGTTGGCTAAATCCGATTCCAACTACCGATCGATGCAAGATTATTCAGGGCTTAGAACTCAACTCAAACCCTAAAGAATTGGGGATTTGAGATGGGAAAGAGGAGGAGATTTGGTCAATGAAACGAACGAGTTACCATGTCGGCTTTCTCTGGCTTTTATATTTGCCAGCTCATTCTGTTTTATAACCCCTCAATCTCTGAAGCATGATCGGTTACGTTTACAACCTTTTAATTGTTGTAAATAAATCCGTAACCGCCCGTTTGAATTGGTAGTTGTTGGAACTCCAACAGCTAAAAAATTGAAATTGGTTCATAAGCTTCTAGAAATTAGTTCTCCGCTGTTGAATCCCTTTTAGGTGGCATTTTTGAAAAGCCACACAATACAGATGGTAGTAATATATCATAATTATTGGTCTTCTTTATTTTGAAATTTCGAAAAAGTGATTTGTAATTTATACTAACTGTGAGATGACTATAATTTTGTATTGGATTGTAAAACTATTTGCTCTTAAATATTATATAATAGTAAGAAAATTAAAAATCACAATGCTAGATCAATTTGTGCTCCAATAATAGATGAATAGTGGTTGACAAGCCTCTGCAATTGCTATGGCAATTACCCAAGGTTTAAGGGTTTCCATTAGAGGTCATTTATAGAATTTTGATATTATTTTGCTTAAGGAATGATAAGAACACTTTTTTTTAAGTACTTTTATATGATTGAATCATGTGATAAAAAAATTTAATTTGATTAATTAAAAATTAAAAATTAAAAATTTCAAAACATTAACTTTATATCAAACATTAATCACCAATCACATCAAATCTATGCGTTTGTGACCTAATCATGTGGAGAGTATCCAAAAAAAAGTGTCTTTAGTACTCTTATGAAAAACTACTAAATAATTAATAAATCAAGATTCACATATAAAAAGGGTTTTTTACAACTTAAATTACAATAAACTACAAATTATTGATCATTAGATGAGGGTGCCCAAGCACCACCATATCCCCTTAACCAATGGTCCAAGTTATGCAGATTGAACTGCAAAACCACATATTCTTCCCTAATACAAATTAAAGTGATTAAAGGACTCAATCGCAATAATTACAAATTTAGTACCCAACAGAATCAATCTTTCAATGTTATGACTATCCATTCCCATTTCCGTAATATAATCCTACATGTCCTGCCACATGGGATATGTGTAAGAAGCTGCAGTCGCTAGAACCATCAAAGGGGATAAACCCACAATGGACATGAACTGATAGAGAGGTAGAGAAAGCGGAAGCATACTCACACGAATGGCGACCCTTTTAGCTCCACTCTCTCATAACACCTTCTTCCTCCGGCGCACATCGACGTCGAAGCAGCGCCGCATCCCATTTCCCGATCCCCACATACCCATCAGAGTCAGTTGCTCCTCTGGTATGTCTTGTTCTTGTCATCATTACTGAAACGTTTTCTCCTTTTTTTATGCTGAGTTCGTTGGAATATGAATCAAGTAGTGAGTAATTGTTGAGAGAAAGGTGAAGGGTAATATTAATTGGGGATGGATTACTGGGTATTTGTCAAATTGTGTATTTCTTTAGTTTTGTTCATGAAGTAGCGTGAAAATTCATGGGCAGTATTTTTGCTGAGATTTTCAGTCATGGGACTGATTGGTGCTATTCATGTTTGCTTTGCATTGAATCAGTTAGAAAAGTTGCATCCAAGTCTACAGAAAGCCCAATTCCTTTTAAGGAACTTGGAAGTGTAGCCTGTGGAATTCTTGCTGTTTGGGCTATATCTACTGCCTCACCTGCAATTGCTGTTAATCAGGTTTGAAATTTCATATTATCATCATCTTTGTAAAAGTTTAACATGCTATTTAATCATTTTGTGTGTGTCAACAGTGTTGGTTATTTATGCATAACTTCCTTTAAAGCAATATTTTATCTGAATTCCAGGCGTTATTTGCAATTCCTGTAGAATCCACTATGGGTTTTGCTTGAATGATGCAATGGAGATTTTATGAGTCTATCTTTCTTCTAAGAAATTTTGAACCCTTATTCTTTTTTGTTGTGTTTGGTACCTTAGCATTCTGTTCTCTTGTTGATTTAACTTAGGCCAGTTATTCATGGTTGGTTCTGCATCTTTTGATGAGTTGTTGACTGCTATGGATAACAGAGAAGGTTATCCATAGTTTTATTCTTGTGAAAAGAAGAATCTATTTTAACGCGAAGTTGATTAGCATGGTCTAAAAATATTATCTAATCTTTTTAGATTTCTGACCAATAGTGGATCTTTTGCTCCGTTCTTTTCTTTGTCCTCACTGGTATTGGAGCCTGACCACTATCCTTATGTGGTCTATGCAATTAAACTTCCAATGTGCCACTATGTGCTATTTGTCGAGCCATAGCCACTGATAAGTGATAACCCCTCAATCTTTGTTGTGGGTTTCAATTTTTTTTCCTTTTTTGGTACATGCAGTTGTTATGACAGTTACTTGTTTAGAGTAATGGTGGTGATTAAAAAAAAAAAAAAAGAAGACGACCTTGTTTAGAGTAGTGGAAGGTTCAAAATTATAATTGTTTGCCTTGCAGAGGCTGCCTCCGTTGTCAACTGAGCCAAACCGCTGTGAGCGTGCATTTGTTGGTAACACAATTGGCCAAGCAAATGGTGTTTATGATAAGCCACTTGATATCCGCTTCTGTGATTACACAAATGATAAATCCAACCTAAAGGGGAAGTCCCTTTCTGCTGCACTCATGGCTGATGCCAAGTTTGATGGTGCAGACATGTCAGAAGTGGTGATGTCTAAGGCCTACGCAGTGGGGGCAAGCTTCAAGGGTAATCCTCTGTCTCATTCTTGAAATTTCTTTTCTTTAATACTCTAAAAACAAAATCAATCCACGTATCTGCAGATCCAACTTTTTCACTTCAAAGCTTTAACAAATCATTTATTCTAACAAACTTGACATGCATGGGGGTTGATCTGAAGCCTTTGGAAAATTTGAAAAAAAAAAAGAAAAAGAAAAAGGAAGCAGTTCTTAGTTCATTCTAAAGCATTTCAGGCTTGTTTATCCCCTGGAATGGAGGTCAAAACTACAAAATCCTTGAGAAATACCACTGGGTGTATTGAAATTTGTCAGTAGGGATACTCTGGAGACAAAATGAACCTTCTCCAAATAACAAAAAGTATAATGAGTCTTGCAATCACTAATTAATAAGTAATGTAAAGCAAGGATAAAATGGCATTCAGGTGAGACAGTTCACCTGAGTTCTTAGTTTAGAGCTGTTATATTATGTCAATGTAATTGCATTAGTACTCTGGTTGGAACCAGAAAGCTTATGCAAGACCTTTATCATCATTGGGTTGATTCACCCCTGAGCATGACGGACATGTCTCAGAATGATTTCATCACAGGAGCATGCTCTCATGATCTATCACTTTGGTTCATAATGAGTCAATCAAAACAGATGAACTTCTGTGAGTTCTATTGACATCTTGGAAAATACAGTTCTTTGACAAAAAACGTCCCTTATTTTCTTGTTAAAGATCAATTGTAATAGTAATCTTTTGCTTTGTGAAATTTATCAACTGCTATGGATTTTAACTAGAGGAATTTCAACACGGATCAGCATGAAAACTACATTACATTGCATTGCCAGAATCCATGTTGTATATTTGAAAGAGGTTGACCTCCTCTCTCATGGTACAATCCTCTTCCCGCTAAGCCTCCTTTCTCCTCGGTCCACAGAGACAAAATGTAGGACTGGTGTTAACAGTTAATCACGGAAGAAAGGACTCACTGAGCCGGAATCACTAACTAATACTAATCGAATAGTAATATAATAGAAAAGACTAATATAATAGAAAGAAAAGAACTTTCTTTTCTGTGTACTTATGTATACTTTCCCCGGTTCCGTTGCTACCATCTCTTCAGCTGTCATTAATGACCATACAGAAGAATTGACCACTTCATTTGCAGGTGTAGACTTCTCCAATGCCGTCTTAGACCGCGTTAACTTTGGGAAAGCCAATCTCCAAGGAGCAGTGTTCAAGAACACAGTGTTGTCTGGCTCCACTTTTGACAAAGCTCAACTGGAAGATGCAGTTTTTGAAGATACCATCATAGGATATATTGATCTTCAGAAGCTTTGTACAAACACAACTATCAGTGTTGAAGGAAGAGCTGATTTAGGGTGTCGATGATCACCATCTGTACTCTATTTTTTGCTTCTTTGTTTTCTTGTATGATCAACTACTCTAGAATCAAAGTCTGCTGGTTCACCCCAGTCATGTGGTGTTACATGACATGATGGAAGGCGATTCATGATAATTTTTGCTGCTCCACAAATGCTATAATCTTTCATTTTTATTTCTTGAAGTCTCAAATTGAAGGATTAATATGAGTTGGCACCGCTGCAATAACAGGTTTTGCAGCTTCTTTTGTTTAAAACATGGAGGAGTGCGTGCGTTACTCTTACTATGGCATCCAGAAATTGCGTAAAGATTATGGAAAGATATGGCCATTTATTTAGTCTATCCTTTAATTCTTAATTACTTCTTCTCACCCCAAAATCAAATGCTAAGAAGTAATAACTTTCTGGTAGTTTCAGTTAAAAAATGGAAAACAAATTTATCTGAAATACTTCCTTGTTTTCGTCTCCAATTCTTTAATAATAAGCAATTGGAGAGGTCTGAATAAACGGCGTATCTGGTGTAGTGGCATCAGAACACCCTACCACGGTACCGGACGGGGTTCGGTTGGCCGAATGCGCATGGTTTAGTGTTCTTTTTATTCTTGTTTATCTATTCTTTTTTATTACTAAACTTTAGATTATCTTTTTAGAG